AGAGATACTTTTAAGATTACAAATATTCAATTAGCTATACACATAACACAGGAGAAATTCTCATAAGGTCTTAGATACTCTCCCTTTCTTGCCACTCAGTTGCTTTTAGAGTAGATCAAGCTATGTGTGGCTAAACATAGCAAACTGTGTAACTTCTTACATTACTCCAACTCACACTCACACAAAACGGTTTTGAACTGTTTGGAATAAATCATACATTTGTAAACACAAACCCCCATCTTCATCCCAATACTAAGCTCTCTCCAAGGTGGAAAACCTATGTTACTTCCTACCTCACACATCAATTATCAAGAGTGGGGAAAAAGGTGGGAAAAAACTTTCAATATCTTGTTTTTATAACATCAAAACCAACTATAAAAAGTAAAACCTGGCATGGGGGAGAGGTAGTGGTGGAAAAGGAAGAACTGGTAAAGGGACACAAAAATCAACTACATTATATACTGATAAAATTTTTTTAAAAAAGTAAAACCTCACAAAAATCTCCTAGTTGAATTAGGAATATACAAGACAGAAGAGAGATCATAAAAACATTATTAGAAAATTAGTTTCTTGGGGTTGGCCAGTTAGCGAGGTTGGTTAGAGAACAGTGTTATAACACCAAGGTCAAGGGTTCGGATCCCTATACCAGCCAACCGCCAAAAGAAATAAAAATTTTTTTTTAAAAGTTTCTTAAAATATGAGAAGGGAGCCTGCTATGGGTCTGAATGTTTATGTACCCCCAAAATTCATATGTTGAAATCCTATTTCCCAAGGTAATGTTATTAGCAGGTAGGGACTTTAGGAGGTAATGAAGTCATAAAGATGCATTTACGCATGAGTGGGATTAGTGTCCTTGTTATTGTTATTGTTGTTATTATTACTACTAGAGGCCCCAGAGAACTGCCTTGTCCCTTCCACCCTGTGAGGGCACAGCAAGAGAGCACCTTCTATGAACCAGTTAACAGGCATCACCAGACACCAAATCTGTGGTGCCAGAACTTCATAACTGTGAGAAATAAATTCCTATTATTCATAAGCCACCCAGTTTATGATATTTTATTACAGCAGCCCAAACAGACTAAGAGCCCATTTAAGACAGCAATGACAACAGCTGCCATCTGAGCTGCCCCTGGATGAGGCACAAAGGATAAAACCAAATTACAAAGTAATGAGCCTGAAGAAGAGTAATTTACAACACAATTAGAAACTCCCAGGCAAAAAAGCATCCAAAAGCACATATTTACTAACAATTGTCTTAATGACTTCCTAATGTAAAACTCCAGAACAACAATACCAGCAGTGTTATCTCTTGATGGACAAAAATAAACCACACAGCAAAACCTCCTGCCTACCTAATTTCAGAAGGTCCCCATACACTGACTGACACTGCAGCCAGCCATTCAGTAAGATCTAGGGTGTGAGAAATCTAAATGGCCTGTTACCTTCTGATTCTTTTAGCAACCATTTTACAAGTGTTAAAGGGTAATATATAATCCTAGTTTTCAAAACCTAAATGTATATACACATGTACGTATTTATTTTACAAACTGAATATCCACTTGGTTGTGTTTATTATATACCTATGTACTCACACGCATAAATAAATTTCAAGTAAAAACATAAGTATATATATATAATACTTATATTTAAATATAAATATATATATTTCAGCAGTGACATTATTATCTCTATATGGTAAGATGACCAATGTTTACATTTTTGAATTTTTCAAATGTTCTCATTTAAAATAATTTTTCCTTTTTCTTTCTCCCAATACCCTGTTTCCAAAGTGGGTAAAATGTGGCAAAGAACTCTTTCTGAAGTCCAAGAAATGAACTAAGTAGGTTTGAAGAAAAAAGCAAAATCCACAATGGGTTTTTCTTTTCCTCCCTGCTGCTTCTCCTTACCTGCTGATGCAGTATTCTTTGTCACCAGGGATGCCCAAGTAACGTGGCCTTTCACCAGTGGCAATGAGAAATCTCTCTGCTGAATAAATTTTTTCTTTGCCTTTATTATTTGTTGCCTACAAATAAACCAGTATGAAAACTTTAATAAGTAATCATCCCTTAGAATTGTAAACTATGTAGTTCACAAAGACCATTTGCCACATTGTCTCATTTGACCCTCATAACTTGATAACACAGTAAGAAACCTATATTAAGGCTGAGTAG